AACCCTTATTTAAAATAGGAGGAAGCTATTACCTTCCTGAAGCAATGGGATTCACAAACGGAGTCCCTTCTAAGCGTGAAATTCCTATACAAAATGAGAAGGAAAGACCTTTCTATACATAGGGTGAAGGTAACTTAGTTCACATGAGAACACAAGTCCTGTAACTGAATAACTGTTGCAAATTCTCAAAGAAATTAGCCCAGGTGAACTCTAATCAATAGACAAAGTAAAATGCCAGAAAAACAAAATCAGTAACTTAAGCCTCACTTTCTAAGAGTGTGAGAAAACACAAAACCGTAGTCATTCCATAGCCGTCCTTGGTAAGAGAAATAAAATAGTTTTCTTCTGTAAGGCATTCGGCCAAGGGATGTGTGTGCATTTTTTTTAATTAGGGAAAGTGAGATTCAAATCTTACTCCATACATAGTAATCCCAACCTTTTAAAAAGATTTTTGGCAATCATTGGTGTGGACTTTGATTAAAGACTGCACAAGAACCTTTTAAACGGTTTTGGTTTGCTACAACCAGGCTCAGTGTGAGGTCAATCAAAGGGCTGTTTGGGTGTTTAGATAAAGGATCCAGCTTCTTTTATCTTTAATGTAATGATTTATGATCATATACTTGCTGCAAAACTGCTTAATGACATCCAAAGGCCATTGAAAGTGACCTTGGGTGGGTGAGGCCAGTTTTCTATGTTTTATTTCATTTACGCCGCATTGTTCTATTTTTGTTGCATTGAGATGCATGGCTGGCTGTCTCTTTTCAATATGTAACACATGTTTGAGCAGAACATGGTCTACCAATGCCATACATGCATTTGGACCATAAATTTGGTTGTTATTAGTCACACATTTGAGTTGAATTAGAGCAGTCTTACTGCAGTCATTATCTGGATTCAAGAACGTAAGACCCCGCCACTACGGGACCCTACAACTCAGTTTTCTTCTTCTCAAGATCCTGCACGCTGCACATCTCTTTCACTTAGAGAAAAAAAATGTACGTGATTGTTGAGTCAAAGGAACCGTGGTTAGTAATTAAGAGATACCACTAATTAATTATTACTAGAATTTTGAGCTTCCAACTTGATGATGAGAGGCTTTGGTCCCATATTAACGGTGTTAATGGTGATGAATATATATATATATATATATATATGTGTGTGTGTCGAATCCAATGTCCTTGTAAAGACAGGCGTTCATCCCTGATAAGATTTCTACTTATTGACATTTGAATGATGTGAAAGGCATCCAACTCAGAATTCCTGCATTTCACTTGACCGCATTGGGGTATCAACCTAGGTTAAGAGCGCTAGGACGTTAATGTGGGGCTAGGGGTAATTTGATTAGTTGCGTGCCTGCAGCCTTCCAATTCAATGTGAAACATGACATGGCAAATTAATATCGTACCCTTGTTGTAGACGTATTTATGACCGAAGAAAATAATCCAAACAACGGGGCGTTTGTGACATTATTGAATCTATGGTTGTTTAACTTACGATCAGTAATTTATGATTTTAGGGAAAAAAATAAAGGTTGGCTGTATAGTTTTTCAGTAATTAATACAAATATTTTTTTAACTAAGTAAAAAAATTTTCTAAGATTTGAGAAGAGTTTAATTGAATGTTTACCCCTGTTTTACATTAAAAAGTTGAATTTAAACTACAGTGCAATATCATTGTTAATATAAATTGAACTTCTAAGCACTTAATTAGAAATTGTAGATATAAAATTTTGAAAATAATGCAATTATATTTGTTAGTATGTTTTAAATAAGCAGTCATGATTGTTTTTTAAATGAAAACGTTGTCTACATGAAATCTCACATGATAATTATTAGAATAAGAGAAATCTTGTTAAACTTGTATAGATTACGAAAGTGAATGAAGTATATATATAAAATTAATTTTATTCATAATTTAACTTTAACTGAAAAACAACATAACAGCATAGACAGGTAGCCATAGCTCTTTCGATGCAAGGTTGGAGACTTGGAGCTCAAAATCGAAGAGTAAAAAATTATATCCAAACCTCATATGGTTCCCACGTGAAAACTCCACATTCATGATCATGCTGTCAAAATTCGACTGCCCCGAAACATGGGGCTATCCAGGTCATTGTCCTCGCATTATAGAACAGACAGCTTCTGTTGCAGTTAACTCTAGAAATTTTCCTTCCGTTTTTACTCCAAAAACTACCAACAATTCTTCCTTTTGGATGCTAATTAGTATTATTATCAGTTCTTAAGAAAAATTGAAGTTCAAAATTCGAATCTCTATATATGTTAAAAAAAAAAAGAAAAGAAAAAAGAAGAAAAATCAGGATTCAGGTGCATTTTAGGGAATTGTGCAGTGATATATTCTTTAGTGAACCTTATGCAGCTTTATTTGGACGGCTGGAAGAAGTAGGATTGGGAGCTTTAATGCGGGATGACAATAAGAATGTGCTAGCTACTGCTGTAACCAGCAAAAGGGCTCCATGTAATGTGTTATGCATTGGCTGAGTGAGTCAATGGCACTTTTCTTTGGAGTCCAGCTTTGGGTATGACCAGCTCATATTGGAAGAAGGTTTCTTGCGGCAAGCTATCTCTGCTCTGCCAGAGTCAGAGGAACTCCAGCCTACATGTTTTTTCTATTTTTACTTGGTTTTTTCAATGAAACTATTTATCGTATATATATATATATATATATATATATATGATTTAATGAAAAGCTATTTACATTACTCATAAGAATTTTTTCCTTTTTTTTTTATAAGAAAAGTGGAACTAAGTGATCAGAAATTTCAAATCACTTGCATGGAAGATCGCGTGAAATTGTTTGGGTATTGATGGAGCAACCACCGTTATATCTCCTCGTTAAACCTCAGGTTTGGGAAGAAAAAGCATTGTAAATAAGGAGAGTTCATTTATAAGATAGCACCTAAAGTCTTGGTGCATTAAAATCAAATTCACTTTCCATAAACAAAGCTAGAAAAAGAAAGGAAAATATCCAACGTTTATGAGTCAGATTAAGAGTAATAAGTGCAGCCAGGCAAGTAGTGCTACCCAGCTTACAAAAGTCAAAACCATACAACCACTAATAGAAAATCAACCGAGAAAGAAGATATCAAACTCGTATTGAGAAATCTTTTTTGAGAAAAATAATACTTTGAACATAAGACTAAAAAACAACCCATTCGTGAGGAAGGTTTAAGTCAGCTGCTAAACGCTAGGTATCAGATCTTGAAACCTTCGTAGCTCCCATATTACCCAGCGTGTCTATCGTTTGATTGGCTTCATCCTAAAAATTTCAAATTCTCTTTTATGGAACGATATTGAAGACTTTAACAATTGTCCAAGTACAATTTTTTTTTTCTTTTGGTTTATCCAGAATTGTCCTATTACGTTGATGAACGGTCTTGTACTTCTTTGGTGAAAGAACTTCTCATTGTTCAGAACTTGATCTGTGCTCAATTTTCCAGGAAAACTAAAGTCTGTTCTTGATGGTAGCCTGATGCTATAAGCACTGCTTTGTTTTGCGTAGGTAATTCAAAACCATAGTTTAAGGAGAAAAATGATACAGTAAATTGAATTAGGGGAACACTCCTAAACCTTTTCTGCTTTAAAAATAGCCATCAATTAATGATATTTTACCTATTAAGGTAACTAGGATATGATTGTTGTAAAATATCAACCATTTTTGACATGGAGCTCAAGAAAAGTCTTCTCTTATTGCTATTTTCATTTTTGATCTATTAAAAAAAAAAAGAATCTTTGGTCAAGATGTGACCAATAAATTAATGTGACCAAAGAATATTATGTTTACTGACAATTTTTTTCTTGACTTATAAGCTGATTCATGTAAAGCATTTTCTTGGTAGTTGCCATATATACTATTCTTTGAAAGTGCTATTTATCTTTCCCTTTGCTCACTCTCTCTCTCTCTCTCCCTTGCTGGTATTCGTTTCTTGTCTAGTTAAAAAACTAAATTAAAAGATGCAAATTGCAAAACATTTCTAATTTTATAATTTTTTTCTAATGATTCCTCATACTTGATTTTTTTTTTCGTTTATTAAGTAGCAAAGAGAGCAGTTCTTAAACAAAATATTACCGTGGGGGATAAATTTTGGTATACCTCCTTACGAATACTGTTTTTACAGATACTCAAGAAAAGAAAATAAATTGATCATGTGGGTTTTCAACTTGTCAAAACAGTTACAATGTTTAGTCACATTCAATTCTATCGTCCCCACTCTCCCATCAGCTTCCTTCATCTCAAGGTCACTCCGCGGTGGGCCATTGTCGGAGACACTTCACTTCGCATTCGATGGTGAAATTCCTTTCAAAGTTAGATAAAAAATCTTAATTAATTAATATCGGACCAAAATGGAAAACAAAAATCAAAATAAATCTGTTGAACATTTTATGAAATCTATGTATGATTGAGGATGACGGATCTCACACTTGATAAAATTAAATTCAAGTTTTATATAATATAATATATATGTATGTATATATATATATATATATTTATATACTTATCAGACATGTATTTATATACATATTATACATGTACATATATATATACATATACATACATATATGCATGTATCAAATTTAATAGACTGTAGTTAATTACTTAAATTTTATTACAAGCCGGGGTGGGTCTATCCTATCCTCCATAGATAGGTAGCAATCTTTTAAAAAACATAAAAATATCTATAGACACCCATTAACTAAAATCTATACCAATTAAGTATACGAAGTCGGTATTCAAAAACATGAAAAAGAAAGATGCAGTCCTACAGGATCGTGCAGCCTATTTCAAGACATAGTGACCCAATGTTACTTTCACAGTCTCTTGTGTCATTTCTTTCGCTTTCCCAAAACCAAGAGAAAATAAAAAATCCTCGAACCTCTAGAATATTCCCGAGCTATATATATCGATGTCTTCATCATTGATCATCACCCACTTGCACGCTTTGTTTCTCTAGTAGAAGTAGAAGACAGCAAGTAGAGTAAGTCATGGAGAATGGCGCTGGATCATCAAGAATCAATCGATGTTTGATTGAGAGAGAGCGAAGGCGGAACATGAAAACTCTCTATTCCAACCTATTTGCTCTCCTTCCTCCCCAACCAAGCAAGGTACTCTTTCATACCATGATTAATTCTCGTCCCCTTGTCTGATTTTTGCTTGAATTTGAAAGTAAAAGCATGGATTCATGTTATAGATGTCGGTTCCTGAGCTGGTGGACCAAGCTACCGCGTATGTCAAGCACTTGCAAAAGAAACTGGAGAAATACAAGCAAATGAAGGTGCAATTGGAAGACAAGCGCCCAACAGCTCATACAATGAGACCTCCAGTTCTTAATATAAGAGATTTGGGTTCCAATTTGGAAGTACATTTGATCACAGGGTTGAATATGGAGTTTGCATTATCTGATTTTATCAGTATTCTTCAGGAAGAAGGAGCTGAAATTGTAAGTGCAACTTGCCATCATACAGGAGATAGGGCAATCTATACAATTCTCTCTCAGGTATATATGTTTTTCTTTAAATCAATTCAATAATCATATCCCTCAAAAAACAATCATAAGCATAGTTTATTACATATATATAAGCATATAACAGTTAATATCAATGTGTTTATAAAAAGACTAGGTTAAAAATTTTGATAAATAAGATAATATAATCTCAAATGCTTCTTACAATAGATCAAAATCTGTAATAATATTTGTTTGAGATCATGCAGCCTTCATCTTCTTGTCTACCTCTTCCGTTTTTTACTTTTGGGATAGTGTGTTTAGCTTGATCTAATTTAGCAGTGAAATGACACTTCATAGCATAGTTTGGCTTTTGCTAATTAAACAAATACGTTTGTTCTTCAATTGTTTTTGACCGTTTAACATCAAAGTCTTCAGCATAAATCACCTTCATAGGTTTATATCTAAGGGTGCAATATGATTAGGGTTTCAGTTCATAAATATTTTTTATTTTAATTATTTTTAAGAAAAAAGACACTGGGAATGTTTACCTACTCAACAAACAGAATAATTTTGGATCAACTTATATTTAGTCTATGATATGTGTAACAGCTTCGTTACATGAATCTTTTCTTCCATCATTCCATGCAATAGCTGCCTTCAACACAGACTTTTTTCCTATTAATTTTTTGCAGGCTATCTATCCTAGAATTGGAATTGCAACTTCAAGCGTGCATGAGAGGTTGACGAGTCTAATATGTTGAAAAAGTAGCGCATTACAGCTGTAAATTAGAGGTGCAAGTGCCATTTAGCATGGCTTATATGATTTGGTTTCATTCAGTGTCCTAATCATAGTGTTATTCTCTTGTATGAAAGGGAATAGAAAATGCACCCATGTAATTGTAGGAGTATCTCAATGAGCAATGTTTTTCTTTTTTTTTTTTTTGCTGAAATATCAAAACTTTTAGTTTGAGAATGATAAATAATTTCATCTAATTTCCTTTATGCCTCAAAATTTGAAGACTTCTTTCAAGTACATATATATGTTAATAATATTCACAATCCACTTTGGAGTATATCCTCTCTCCTTTTATGAAATTACGTATATAAATAAAAATTATAATCATAATTAAACAACTTTGAAGATATATACCACATACATATCACATCCAAGAGAAAAACCAACCAACTAGTATATAATCAAACAAATCTAATATAAAATTATACCAAGTTTATACTTAATGAAACTTATACCTGAGATTTAAAGATTCCGAAACTTCTTACTCATCATTAAGACAAGATATATTCTGACCTTTTCAATTATGGCATTTGGTTGAGAGAAAGAGTAACCAAACAAATTGCCAAGGAAAGTATATATGAGGAATAAAAGGGTTTTACGTTATCATGTTTGATTATGGAAAGGAGTGTACAATGTATTATTTTCTTTGATTTTTTCAAAGTTGACAAGGTGGATTAAAAAGAATTATATCCAATTATGTTTATACATAAATAATGATCTATGTGTTGAACAAAATAACTACTAGTATTTCCTTCTAGACAAAAAAGATCAAAGATGTACATTTATATAAAATCAATAAATAAATTAATTGCAGATAAAAGAAAGAGATTTCTACAATGTTCAATACCATTTACTTTTAAAATATTACATAGAGTCAATATATCAAAATCGAATATTTTCTCATTAAAAACCTCTTTTAACTTGAGCAATTTTTCATCAATCTCATTAAGTGTTTTTAACTTGATATTTATTATCGCATCACTCAGCCATGTAATACCCTAAATTTTTTTTTGTTTTACTTAGCCAAAAAATATATATATTGATGGTAAAAAGATGAAACATGTTTGATGACCGTCCATGGATGTTGGAGCATAATTTGCAATACCCTGACAATTGTACCACAACGCCCACACTTTCCATGACTCATGGTAGTTGAAAAAAAGATGATTAGCTAATTCACTGACCCTTTTGCAAAGAAGGCATTCTGTCGACTCTCTTGCTAAGATGGCTCTCTCAACCAATTCTTTCTTAATTGCATTTTTCCGCTCATCATCTGCCAACAAAACACCTCATCTTAGCACTTTTATAGTTGTCAACAAATAAGTTATCTCCGGTTTGCAAAAGATGACTGTATCATCAACATATTGAAGATGTGAAATCTGAAAACTTTACCTACTCATCTCGAAACCCTTGAAACAATCCTTTGCACTAGCTTGGCTCATCAAAACATTGAGTGCTTCCACTATGAAGTTAAACAGAAAGAGATAGAG